CCCGCCGCCCGGGCAGGCCTGTGCCCGCCGCCCTGCGCCTGCCGCCTTCCCCTGATGGACTGCAGCCGCAGGAGGCTGCCCGCGCCCGGCTGGAGGGCACTGTCAGGCCCGCTGCCCCCCGACACTTCCAGCCTGTGAGTAGACGGCCCGAGGGGCGCGGTCGTGGTCGCCAGCCCGGGTTCTGAAGGCGATTACCCTGTGGAGATTGTGAACTTGGAGTGTTAGCTTTGCCGGGACTCGCGGGAAATTTGGGACTAAGATTGGGGGCTCCGGGGAGTTGGTGATGTTCTGGGCTGAAGATGGTTAACGTTGGACTCAGGCATCCTGAGCACAGCGGATACTCTGGGTGGCCTTGGGTTGGCTGCAAGCGCGAAGCCCTCTTTGGGCTGCATCATTTTTGTGTTCCTGCTTGACTGGTCCTTGGGCGGGCACGTGATGCAAACACGATCTCTCCCAAAAGACACAGGAGCTCTCTTTTGTCCCCAGTTCTCCCATTGGCTCATTGTATGTTCCAGGTTGAATACTTGACAGGGTTGAAAAATCTCATCATGCATAAGAAAGGTCATTGCCGACCCCGAATATTTTTGTAAGCCGTCAGTTTAAAGAAGGGAAAGATTTTTTTTCTTCCCAAATCATGATACTTTGTTTTCACTACATTGCTTTGAGGCAAAGAACCTTCACATCAGATATCTTTGTTTATATATGAGAGTCCACTACAGTAGTTGAGTAGATTCAGGAGTCTGACTCCAAATCCTGACAAACTTGTATTAGCTAGTGGCACCTGGAGAGCTCATTGGTCTGAGTCAGTAGGTATTAAACACAACAGTAGGTATTAAATACTGTAATTATGGGAGTTCTTAGCCACCATCATACAGTTATGTATTTTTTGCCACTAGCTGAGCGATGTGCTTATTAATTGTCTTCTAGTTACCGCTGAAAAAGAATTATCACTGAAAATACTTTGGGGTGTAATTAAAATATGAAGAATGGTTGGGTTCTCATTGAAAATAGAATGCAGGTGGAGCGTCTGCATTGCAGAGATTAAGTATATATTTGCAGTATGACTTATAGGGTAGTATAGACTGGAGAGAAGCTAACTCGTATATTCATTGAGAAAATTAGCAACTGCTACCGTAAGCGTAGAATTGGAATATAGTAACACAGCTTTTGCCATTTTAATGGTGGTGACAGCTGTAGCTAATTCTAGTTTTATTGACCCAAAATTTAAGATTCTTATCATGTAATGTAGTCTGAATTAGCATAGCATCTTCCTTATACAGCAGGTGTCTTTTTTCGAAGAAATTGTTGAGACAAGTGATTATGGTAGACTGTTTAAACATAAGTGTAAACACAGTGTGACTTAATGTAACTGTCATTGAAATAAATATGGCCTACTTTTGGAGATCCTTCATTGAGGCTTGCCGAGCATACTTGTTTGACATGCATGAAGGCCGGGGTTTGATCACTAGTACTAAAAAAGAAAAAAAAATCATTAGTAGGTAAATAGTAATTAGAAGTAATGTTACCAGAGATGCAGAATGTCACCAGAAGCTGACATTTAGTTGTTTGCTTTGAGAGGATGCATTGCCAGGTAGCTCAGGATGGCCTTCAGCTGTCTATCCTCTTGCCTGAGTTTACGTAGTGCTGCACCATTGCTCCCAATTTGCAGTCAGAAAATTTAAATGTCCGTAATGAAATTGACATTTTCAGTTGGAGTGGAATGTCTCAGAGAATGATTCTCTTACAGAAATGGAGTCTTCTTCATTAGCACAAAACCTCATAAGACTGCTCAAGGATAGAATTGTATTGTTTTAAGTCCAGGCTGAAGCATTCTTCAGCAATTGCTATTAGCTACAGAACCATCAGGTATACTTAGGGCTATCTTATATTTTTTTTCAGTGCAGGGTATGGAATCTAGGTTTTAGGCGTGTTAGACAACTGTTGTCTTATAGAGCCACACCTCAAGCACAACTCTGATTTCTTTTAAAATTTTTTAGGCATGGTCTTTATAATTATGTGTCTTAGCAATTCTCTAAAACACTTGATTTTTCAAAGTTGGATTCTCTGGGCACAGAACTTGACATAGTGTTTTATTTAATTAAGCACACACCCACATTCATAAAGTGAAGGACCAGGTAAAATTGTAACTTTTCTTTTTAAAAATATTTTATTGCATTTTTTTATTGTTTTGTATGTATGACCATGTGTGGGGGACAGAGGATAACTTGTGGAAGTTGGTTCTCCTAACATATGGGTCCCAGTGGATCAGACTTTTGCCCTCAAGCTTGATGGCAAATACTGTCACTCTGAGCCAGTGATTCTCAGCCTCCCTGGTGCTGCGACCCTTTAATACAGCTCCTCATGTTGTGGTGACGCAACCATAAAATTATTTTCTTTGCTACTTCATAACTGAAATTTTGCTACTGTTATGAATCATAACATAAATATTTGTGTTTTTTGATAGTCTTAGGCGAACCCCTGAGAAAGGGTCATTTGATTCCCCCCAAAAGAGTTGTGACCCACAGTTTTGAGAACTGCTCCTTTGAGCCATTTTACCAAAGGGCTGACCTGGAACTTGTGGTCCTTCTACCTCTGCTTCTGCCTTTTCTGCCTGTCGTACTTGTGTGGACTACCACAACTGGCTGAGCTTTGTATTGTCTCTATAGCTCTCCTTTTTCAGAGCACCATGTAGTTGGTGCTATGGTTAGAATATGAAGTATCTCCCATAGGCTCACATGGTGAGAACTGGCATTGTTCCTAATCCCTTTCTGTGTCTGCCTGCTTTCTGGTGGTTGGGGTATTTTGTGTGTGTGTGTGTGTGTGTGTGTGTGTGTGTGTGTGTGTGTGTGTGTGTGTGGTGTTGTTTTGTTGTTTGTTTGTTTGAGACAGGATCTTACTGTATAGTTCTTACTGGTCTGAAACTCCCTCCAAGGACTAGAACTCACCAAAGTCTGCCTGTCTCTGCCTCCCAAGTGTGAGTCACCACCCCTGGGGGGGGATTGTAAGGTTTGTTTGTTTAATTACATTTGTTTGTTTATTGAGTGTATTGGGTGGGCAGGTACATGCTCTGATGCATTTGTGGAGGTTGGACAACCTGTAGAAGTCAGTTCTCTCTGCCATGTAGGTCCCAGGTATTGAATTCAGGGTGTCAGCCTTGGCAGCCAGCACTTTTACCTGCTGAGTCATCTTACTGTCCTTCATTCTGTTTTCATTACAATAACTAAGATTTGTTTCCATTTGTTCCTTTAGAATAGTTGTAAACAGGTTAATGCTTTACTATATAGAGAACATTAGTTTCTGTTGAATAACTTTAGCTAAGTCATTCTTCAAGTTTCCATAAACTTACAGTTTCAACACTGTTCAAAAGTCCAAAGTCATCTGGGCAGTAGTTGCACATGCATTTAACCTCAGCACTCAGAGGGCAGAAGCAGGTAGTTTCTTGAGTTTGAGGCCAGCCTTGTAGCACAATTAATAAAAACCCAGAGACAGAAATTGTTTAAGACAGGATCAACCTGAAGGTTAGAAATGCAAAGCAGCCTGCCACTGGGTCTCACCTCTACCTCAGTCTGCAATGGCGATCCTGTCTCCTGTAATCTCAGAATGAGACTGTGTGAGAGCTATTTCTTCCCATCTTATATTCCTCTCTAGTGCTGGGATTAAAGGCGTGCACCACTACCCCCTGTTCTGTGGCAAACTGGAACTAAAAGTGTGTGTCACCACTGCCTGGACTGTAAGGCTCAGCAGTGCAACTGTTTTACTCTCTGAATTTCAGGAAAACTTGATTTATTAAAATACAAATGAAATATCACTGCACAGCTTGGTCTATAGATTGAGTTCTAGGACAGCCAGAGATACACAGAATCCCTGTCCTGAAAAACAGAAACAAAACAAACAAAAAGTCCAAAGTTTCATCTAAGGCCAAGGAAGTCTTAATTGGGAGCCTCTTGCATAATCAAAAAACAAGATTCCTACTTCTTATGTATAATGGAATAAGTATTATTCCTAAAGGGGAAATGGATGTGTAGCAAAAGAAATCAAACCAAAGGAAGACTGAATCACTTGTCAGGCAGACACCTGACCCTGCAGCTCCATGTCGTATATGGGATTGTGACAGCATCTTTAGTTCTTCAGTGGGCTTGGGTAGCACCATCTTTCCAGATAGATACATTGCATAGGAGACATATGGTCTTTCCATTGGGCCTGCTTCATTTGGTGCCTTCAGTTTTCTTTGTTTAACTTAACACATTTCTGGCATCACCAGTATCTTAGATTCTCCATTGCACCTGTGGTTCCCTCTTCACAGATGGATAGCAACCTACTTTGGGTATCCCTGCAGGGGCTTTGATACTGCTATAGTTTTCCTGGCCTGGCTTTCTGGAACCTTGACTCAAGCCTCCAAGACTTCCCACTCTGGCATTCTGTGTGCTTGTAAAACTAGTACCTACCTACCTAACCCTGTTAGACCACAGCTATAGGGGCTGTTGGGTGTTTGCTTAGCTGAAAATATTTATTTCCTGTGAGGTTATCTGTGTGACTGTATTCTCAGTTCAGGTATTCTCTTTTCAAATGAATTTTCATTTTTACAAGTTGGTGCCTTGATGAATGGTGTCTTCCACTCAAGGCATCTTTCCTGTTATCCCTGTGGAAAGTGTATAGTTTTTCTTTAATGGTGTCTTCTCAACAAATAAGCGGATTTGTTCATATTCTTTTCACGGCTTTAAGTAGGTTCGTTTTCTTTTTCTGATTCAACTGCTTATTTTCCATATCCTGTCCACTTTCTGATTTGAATTCTCACTATAAACTTTCCTAAGCATACTAAGAAGTAACCCTGCCCCAGTCTGAATGTATGCTGCCTTAAAATTTCTTCCATCAAATGTAGTCAATTATTTTGAGTTCAGCCTCACCAAAAATTTCAAAACACAGGCAGAATGCAGCCATGTTCCTTGTCAGAGTTGGTAATGTGACTGGCTGTCTAGTCTAATTCCCAGTAGAGTCCTTGCTCTCTGAAGCTTTATGAGCATAGCCTCTACTGTTTATACTTTTATCAGCATTTTGGTGGTATCAATGTGTGGCACACTAACCTGTGTGTCTTAATGTTCTAGAGCTTCTCTAAGCCATAGTTTAGAGAAATTAT